GGGAAGCGAGAGGAGAGGGGTGTGAGAGGAGGGGCAGACGGCAGCGGGTGCTAGGGGGCGCTGCGGGCCGGGGCTGCAAGAAGAGGCGCCTGAACACTGAGCTGTACCTGGGGCCTGGAGAAGCTTTAGGAAGGCCTGGGAGATGGGGGGGGGGGGGGGGGAAGCGAGTCAGGGAGATGGGAAGGCACCCTCCCTGCTTCCATCAATAGTGCCTAATTAAGACAAAGCCAGCAGCGAGCCCACTGATTACATTTCCATGAGGAGCTAAATTGATGACATTTTCTTTGCTGGATGAGGGGGAGAGAAGCTGGCACCCTTTTCCTGGTCGGTGTTCACACCTGACGGGTCTCATATGCCAGTCTGGCAGGGCGAAGAGTGGCAGTCTCTGGTACTCCGCAGCTCTGACCTCACCATCCTACCTACCCCATCTTTATTTCCAGAATTGACAACCCCTGCCCTTGGCATCCCCCACGCCGCCCATTATCCTTAAGGTGGGTTTCTGGGCTCCTGTCCAACCCACCACCCTCCTGTTGCTGAGGGCAAGGTTTGAAAGAGAGAGGAGTCCGGCTACACCCAAAAACCAGCTGCACAGCAAGCAGGGCTAGGTGGGTGATCCTCTAACCAGTTAGGGAGTGGGTGGCAGAGAGGTGATGTGATTGGTCAGATCCCCCAGGGAAAAATCCCAAAGGAATGAAGATTTGAAGGGAGGCATAGGATGGGGAGACTTATAGGCAGGGCTCATGGCTCCCTCAGGGAGAGGAATGTTGTGTAGACCCCATTTATTTTCTGACCCCCCCCCCACAACCTTGGCTGTGCCTAGGGATCCCAGCCCCCTACATTATGCTAAATAGGTAATCAAACATCTCGCTTTGCTAATTACTGCTCAATCCGATTAAACGCTGCTGACGCTCATCAACAGAGGTAGGTGGAGGTAGGGGGAAGGGATGAAGGGGGGGCCCAACCACAGCTGTGAGGGGGTTCTTGTCCCCAGGGGCTCTAGGGGACAGCTGAGAAGCAGTCGGGAAAGCAAGACTCGGCATCCTCCAAAGGAAATGGGCAGAAGAGTTGTACCACAGGACCCTTCGTCCCACTGCATCCTCCCAGCCTCAGGCTTTCCCTCCTCCCAGAACCTTCATTACCCTCAGAACCCAGGCATCCAGCCATTCCCACAGCTCCCCACACACACCCCTGTCCCAGCTTTAATAAGTTCTGTTCTCTCACTGTCAATATTTGATTTCTCAGAGCCATCTCCACGGAGAGAGGGGGCCCTTCCCTTTCTTCCCCCCTACCTTGGCCCTCTTTTGCCCACCCCAGTCTCTTTGTGCCCCCAACCTTCTCTGAACTAGCTGAATTAATGAAATGATATTAAAGTCTTAAGCAACTCCAAAAAGAACGGTTGTTATGGTGAAGGCAGTGGGCAGGACTCCTGGGTCCCTGAGGGGAGCACGGGCTGAGGAGGGGGAGAGTGAGCCAGAGACTAAGGTCTAGAGGCCCCAGTCCCCAAGGAGGAGCAGCAGATTTAGGGTGAGCTGAGGTCCAGCCCTCTGGATCATGCTGGGAAGCAGGGAATGACGGCTGGGGGCTAGGAGAAGGTGGGAAGAGAGAGGACATTCCGGGGGTCCGGGTCTCAGCCTGCTGTCCAGAGCATCCGTCAGGGATGGAGGCCGGCTGGGGGCACAGGGCCTCTGTGCCAGCAGCCTCCCTGCTGATTTTGCCCTGGGCTGGTCCCGTGAGAACCAGAGTAGATTCCTCTTCAGCCCTGACTCATCTCTCTTCCCCCACCCCACAGCAGACCCCCACAGGTGATTTGTAGCTGATGCCCTCACAACAGTCACAGCCAGGAGAGTTGTTCCGTGACATGAAGAGCGGAGGGCTTCCAGGAGAGGAGAGAACAGAGGCCAAGGGATGGGGAGCCAAGCACCACCCCCACCTCCCCCCACCCATCCCATCTCACTCCCCTGGGGACCCTGGCCCAGCCCCAGTCCCCTTGGGGTGGTGGGAATGCAAGGACATTTGGCTGGGCTGATTGATGAGGGAGGAGGCAGCTACGAGGCACTGAGGCTGCTGTTTGCTGAGCACACAGATTCCTCCTCCCCACTCACCAGCTGCCGCCCCCCGAGGCTGCTCCATCTCCCTAGCACTGCCACCAGCCACGGGGACTGGAGGGAGCCGATGCCTCAGCTTCTGATGGCAACTGAGGGAAGTGGGAGAACCAGGCCACCAAACACTTCGATTCCTTCTGGGAATCCGGGGCCCCTGGGACCTGGTCCCCTCAGAACTCCCTTCAGGACTCCACCTTCCCTGCTACCTTTCAAACATCTCTCCTGTGCTGAGTTTTCAGTCCCATTTATTCTGCATCCTTTTTCCTACCCCCACCCAGCTCTCTAAGCCCATCCCAGCCAGCCCCCTGCCTCCAAACCCACCTGCAACATTTCTCCCAGCCTGCCTACCGATCTTGACACTCTCTCTGAGGTAGGGGGTGCCCCAGGTTCGTGAGTGCCAATGGAGCCCCTTATGTGGCTCCATTTTTCATTCTAACTGAAATTCCAGTTGTGATGTCAACCATTCCCCATCAGAAATTCACACTGCCACCCTTTGCTCTGTTCTCCTTTGATTGAAACCCTCAACATAAATCACGTACACTAACATACGCACCTCAACCTAATTTATATCCTGCTTCTGTTCGAAAGGATGGGGGAAAGTCTGAGCTTCTGCCTTCAGCACAGCCCCCAGGACAGCCTCCATCCTATGCTGAGGGAGAGGAGAGGGCTTTACCTTCTGTGGTCCCCAGCCTTCTCACATCCTTTACATCTGCTCTTCCTATCTGCTCTAGACTGTGTACCAGCAGCGGTACCACAGCCCCCAGATCTCAGAGCATCATCCCTGCCCTCCCAGAGCATGAAATTTAGTTGAGGAAAACACAACTCACATCTGCACAAGAAACAAAGGAATAAAAAATATGGAAGACCGAGTAGGATCAATTTCCTAAATGTGGATCCTTCCTTAGTAACTTGCTCCCCTGCGGGCTGAGGCTGGGGAGACAGGATGTCTAGAACACGTGTGTGATTGTGGTGTCTTTCTAGCTATTCCCAAACCCGCAGAGATTTCACCTCTACACTTTGCATTTGCTGTTCCCTCTTTCTGCTGTGCCCTTCCCCAGAGTGCCTACCTTCCTCACTCTTCATTATTCAAGATCCTGAACAAATGTCACCTCTTCAAATGGACCCTCCTGACGTGCTAACATACAGCATCTCCCTGTTACTCTCCGTCCTCTTCATCCTGTTACTCTGTTTTGTTGATATCACTTATCACTACCAGAAATGCTATGGTTTTTTCCCTACCAAAATGTGGGCTTCAGGAAAGCAGGGACTTTGCCTTGTTCAACATATACTCCTGAGTGCCTGAAATAGCACCTGGAACAAAGTAGATGTTTAATAGGATGTTGAGTGAATGAGTGAATTAATGTCTTTCTGCACCTCTTTTCTTTTTGGTGTAGTTGTTACCCTAGGAGTCTGTTTGTGTATTTGTACCTAGAAAGCGAATAGGATGGCATGTGTTGTTCTGTGCAGAAGTCACCTGAGCTTTCAAATAGCTCAAAAGATCCACAAGTCACTACACACGGAAGGCTGTAGGTCTTGTCCTGTTCATGTTGGGGGGTAGTCTACAGATGCCAGTGCTCCAAGGGAGTGTGTCCCAGGGTACTGTGCAGAATGTGCTGTTCCTCTCCCCAGCTGTGCATCTGTCCCCAGGTGTCTTCCTGTCTCTCAGCATGTTATGATGTCTCGGCTGCTTTGGTGAGGTGTTTGTTTGTCTGTCACGGAGACTATTTATCCCCACTTCTCTTCCCTCTCGTCTCTCCACCTGTGCCTCTAGATGTACGTGTAGGGGGAGTCTCCCTCGGCTCCCTTGCCCCCTCTCACACACAGCCCTGCCCCAGTCGTGGACCCCTCCCTCTCTCACTGGGCCCTGTTGCTGGGCTCTGGGTTGTCATAGTGACGGTTGCCAAGTCCCTGAGGCTGATAGCCAGCGATGGGGCTGTCGGCTCCATCCACGCGGGAGGCTGAGGGGGGCTTCCCATTGTGTGGAGAAGGGGATGTTGCCTTGACAACCAACCCCCACTAAGGGGCAGGGACCAGCCCTTCCACCACCACCCCCACCTCCAGCCTCCCTACCTCAGGCAGCTCCAGTGTGGGCTTGGAAGGCAGGAGTAAATTCCAGAGAGCCCAGCACCTGGCCTCCCAGTTTTCAACTCCCCTCTTACAATGCCTGCACCTCTCAGGACCCAGGCATCTTGCTCAGACAGTGGGAGGGGCAGGGGTCCCACTGGACGGAGGAGGGGCAGGAGGACCCCTTGACCTCCAGGCAGATGGGAGACAGCAGGAGGGGACCTAAAGTCAGGGGAGGGGTGGGCAGGGCAGAGGCTGTGACCCCTGCCGACTGGCTCTAGTGATGCTCCTGACGGCCGCTTTTGTGGTTGGAGAATGAGGTGGAGTCTAAGGGGCTGAGCACCTGGGTTTTTAGGGTAGAAGAGCCTGGATTATGGATACACAGGGAGCCAGGGGTCACGCAGCTTGATGCCTGGATTCCTGAGTCTTCTGGGCAGCGGTGGGAGGGAATACATTAAACACGTGGACATGTTTTTTTCCGCTTTGTTTCTGACTGCAACTTGCCTTGAGTCTGGTGCTGTGGTTTAGCAATAGGCACTTGGCTTTCCCTCAGCTGTGAAAGTATATTCACGTACAGCCCTGTGGCTGTTGGATTTATTGGCAACTCCCACTCTCACCTGGGTCCCTCCCTCCCTCCGACGGAGATGGCTGCCTTCTTCAGCCTTCTCACCAGGCCCCTTACCCACCCCTCCATGCACTGTCCACCTCACCCCTCCAACCCAACAGTCTCCCTAACCCTTGGTTTCATGCAACCCAACCCTCAGCTGGTAAGCGTCTATCCACCAGGTCTCTGTCCCAATTTATGTCCAGTTATTCTCCAGCCTTCTTGTCCACTTTTGAAGTTTTTTATTTCTTTTTTTTGGTTTTTTGTTGTTCAAATTTCCCTTTACAGTAAAACTATTGAGGTGACGGCCATACCCCGCCACCTCCCCCATGGCAACATCAACTTCCTGTTCCCTGGAAGGAGCAATTAGAAAAGTCAGGAAGGAGCTGGGAACTACGGCACCAGAGAGATGACTTGACCTCTGGTGGACAAAGCAACCGTCTTGGCTGGTGATTGAGGTGGCCGACGTGGTGCCCAGGGGCAGCTCTGATCTAATGGAAATGAGCTGAGAGGAAACGGAGACGACACCCAACTGTGCACTAGAGGGCAGGAAGAGGTATCAGCTGGTCACTGCAGAAAGAGTGGCTGTTGCTAAGGACCACTGTCAGCTAGACCAGTCAGTAGGCCACCATTTTGGTCACTAAGAAGGGAGATTGTTGAGGTTGAAGGGAGTAGGAAATGGAGGATGTGAGGAACAAGACAGCCATCAGGGTTACTGGGGACAACAGGTGGGTTCTTGGGGTAGTCCTGTTGAGTGACAGAGATTATACTGGGATAGGGGAAGGGAAGAACAAGACAAATTGGGCCTGCCACCACAGATGGCAGTCACCTTAGCTGTCCTAAAAGCAGCACAGAGAACAAGGGAAGGGCGATCCTGGCACGTGCCACTGAACACTAGGAAAATCCTCCTCAGTCCACCCGATCTTCTTAGAGTAAGTTCCAGCTTCCTCCTGAAACAGGAAGTTCTTCCTTCCCCTCCTTCTCCACAGAGTGAGAACCATCCACCTCCCCCCACCCCCCAGACTAAGCCACTTCGGGTTCCAGCCAGACCACTTCCTATTTCAGAAGTGCTACTTCCTGTCCTGGATGAAGGCACTTCCAGTTCCTGCTGCACTGCTTCTGCCACTTCCCAGGCCACTTCTGTCCGGGCCTGATCACTTCTTGTCTGGAGCAAGTCACTTCCTGTCCCAAGTGGCCCCTTCAGCATCAGACCAAGTCCACATGTGTCTCGACTGGTTCATAGCTTGCTACTGGCCACTGGACAAAGCGGGACACTTCTTCTCATGGTAGCTGTCATGACCCAACCACCCCAAATGGCCGGAGTAAGTATGCAGAGGCCTGGGGCAGGGCAGAGGCGGAGGCCTGCTGCCCGCGCCCTGAGCTGGGGTGGAGTGCCAGAGCTTTCCCCATAAGGCCCCCATTTTTGGCAGACTGAGGGGAGTGGTCAGTAAGAAAAGTCAGAAGAGGGAACTGAGGGGAGAAATACTTTGATGCCCCCACCGTGGAGATGGGAGAGGCACAGGATAAGAAGCCAAGAGGGTATAAGGAGATACAGGGAGGAGGATGCTAGGGAAGAGGAACAGACCTAGAGACAGAAGAGAGAGAAAGAGAATGAGAGAGAGAGAGAAGAGAAAAGAGAAAAACAATGAGAGGCAGAAAGAAAGAGGTGGCAACCAAAAGACAGACTGTTCCCACCCCTAGCTCTCAGTGGGTGAGGGGGACAAGGACCCTTGGGTCACGGTCAGAAGAGGGAGCTGAGTCTCTGCCCCCTCCTTCAGGGGAATAGGACCCAGGAACACAGAGACAGAGAAGGGCACACACGGCCAACCAGAGGGCAGGTGCGAGCTTGGTGGAGGTCTTAGGAAATCCTAAAAGTGGAGAAGAGGCAACAGCCAGGGGGAGCAAGGGAGCTGGTGGGGAAAAGGGGGCCGAGGAGATGCTAGAGGTGTCCCTCAAACCATGAATTAAACTGGAGGAGCACCTCCCAAAGGGCTGGATGCAGAAGAGCCAGGTTGGAGGAGCCCTCATACCTTGTAGTAGATGTTTGGAGGGCTCTGTGGGGGCCCATCCTGCACGATGTACACAGGATGCCCATAGTCGCCACTCACCTTCTCATAGTGGGGACAGAAGGGGGGGTCTGCAGCCCCACCGCCCCGCAGAGCTATCCCTAGTTCCCCAGGCTCAGCCTCCCTAGGTCCCATCCCGCCTCCACCCCCCCAGGCCCAGAGACCCGCCCCTCCCGAAGGAGCCAGGACCAGGGTGGCGACTCTCCGAAGGCTTGGCCCGCCGTCTCCGCCAACACATGGCACCCCCAGCCCCTGCCACGCCCAGCAAGAGCAGCGCCAGCCCCCCTGCTGCCCCGGCCACTGCGGGCATGCTGGGAGGGGGCAGGGGGCCTTCAGCACCCCGGGAGGTTGCATTGCTGGTGGGGTCACCTGGCAGGGAAGGGGTGAAGGAGGAAAGAGGGGGAGGGGCTGAAGGAGCCACCCTGGCATCTGGACACCCAGCCTTAGGGGTCCCCATGGGCTTTACCAACAGTGCCCAGGCCTTTGGGGACCCACTTCCCCTCCCCCCAATTCCCACTCAGAATCCAGGTGTGTCCATCCCTTCAGCTCTGTGCCAAGTAGTCCTCCCCACTTCTCTGACAGCACTGATTGAAGCACTGACTTGGCTAATTAGTTCTAATTGATTCTTTTCCTCATTTGGCTTCTATTCCCCTCCCACCCTCCCATCCTCTCTTCTCCTCTTTCCTGTATCACCGCCCCCAAAACTGAAGAGGGAGGGAGAGGGTGAAGGCAGGGCAGCTGGGTCCAAGAGCAGAGGAGGCTAGGGAAGGCAGGAGGCTGGACCCCTGATTCCTACCTGCTGTGTTCTCCTTCCCGGGCTCCAGGCTGTGGGCTGCCCCTCGGTCTCTTTCCATGGGCATTTCAGACACAGGCTTTCGGGGGGCAGCCCCTCCTCGGGGACCTGGAGATGGGGAAGACCCAGGAGAGAGGGGCTGAGACAGCAGTCTCCTGACCATAATGGTACTGCCCCAACCCACCTCGGCTCTTAGGAGGTATCCCAGCCATACTCACTTTGTCCCACTCGGAGAAGCACCTTCATGCCTCTGGTGAGGCACACACCTCCCTGCAAGCTCTCCAGGCCTTCTCGGGTCCCATCCGATGTGGCTGGGAGAGAAGAACCAGAGTGAGAAGTTGGCGCTCCAGAGTCCAGTCCCTATTCTGTCTCCATGCCCTGGCCCCAAACTACCCCAGGGTATAAGGGGTCTCTCTTGGTTCCAGTAGTCCCCTCCCTCATCTGCCCTTGATCCCAGGAGCACCTCCCCACTTGACCCTGCCCTGTGCCCAGTAGTACCAATTATGTAGTAATCATGGTGTGAGCGGAACTCGTGGCCCCAGAGGTTAGGGCTATACTCCTGGAACTTGATGGTGAAGCGGAGATCCAGATCTGGCCGATCACAAGTGAGAAGGAGGTTGGGGGCAGGGGGTGCCTCACAGCGCCGGCCCTGGGCACCCCCTACCAGATACAGCTTGTAGAACTCATAATTAGGAGAGGAGTGGGGGCCAGGAGGCCGGGCCCGGGGGCAGAGCAGGTCTAGCCGGTCCCCAATCTGAGGGTAGAGCACGTAACCACCCTCTGCCTGGAACCTATGGGGAGGAGGGCGAGGTGGACAAGGAGAAGAGGTGTCAGAGGTCTGGATCCCAGAGCTTTGCCTCCCTCACCCCACTTCCTGGCAGGACAGCCTTTGTCTGAGCAGAGTGTCTATTCTGACAGAACAGGGACTAAAGACTCTGGAAGCTCACGTCGGAAGCAGCAGGAAGCCAGGCTCAGAGGTCTCTTGCCCCTTGGTGTGCCCAAATGCACTCTTCAGCCCGCCCTCGCCACATGCACACTGCCATCTCTCGCTCCATCACCAGCCCTGTTGCCATGGCAACAGGATGCCAGTTACCAAGGAGCTGGCCTCTCTGGAACCACAGAGCCCACCCCTCCCAGGTGATTTCACTATTCCACAGCAGTCAACCATGGGGCAGAGCCTCCCCTCCCCCAGGCCACCACTGAATTTCAGGGATTTCAGGGCAAAGAGGGCAGGATGGGGGAGGGGATATGAAGGGTAATCCAGACCAGTGTCCCAAGTTAGCCAGGCAATGTGACAGGAGGCAAATGTCTGGTCTGACAATGGCCCTAAATGGGGCTAATGGGAACCAGGATCTGTGGGAAAGCTGCCCCAGATATTTCCCTGCTCAGTACCCCTTCTTCCCCCAGCCCCTGGTGTCACACTTCCTAGGAAAAGTGTCCTATTGCTTTGGAATGGAAGGAGTTGACTTTTCTACCCATAGCCAACACAAGCCCACATCTCCCATAGCCCAGGCAGCCCCTGGGCCAGTACAGCCACTACGTGCCAGCAACTACAGCCCCTCCCTGTGCATTAATGGTCGACAGGGTCTCAGAACTTGGTCACAGGGGATTGCTGCTTGCTACCTTCCCAGACTCCCAAATAACCCACTCCATCCCACACAACACCCCAAAGAGCTCCCAGAACACCCTAACTCCCTTTTCTCAACTCTATCGGAATCAGCCTAACTTACATCCTCACACTGCACCTGATACTCCAACTGCTTCTGGGAGTTGGTGGGTAGGAGACTGAGAGGGGAAAAGACATTTGAGATTAGATCCAAAGAGATATGGGTGGGAGGCCAGGGAAGGGAAATAGGAGGGAAGTTGTGAAGTAAAGAGAGAAAGAAGAATATTCCTAGTTCTCCTTTAACGAGCGTATAGTAAATTCAGACACCTCACCTCTAATCTTCATAAAAGCTGTAAGGATTGAGGATACAAACTCAGAAAGGTTAAGTGACTTGCCCAAGGCCACACAGCAGAAAGCAGCAGGGCTAGGATTAAGACCTAGACTTTGATGAGTTGCAAAGCTGGCCCTCTCCCCATGGCTCACACAGCCTCCCCAGGGAAGGAGGAAGTTTTCAAAACATAGAACTTTTTGCTAATAGGGAGTGGGGTCTGCAGGGAGGCAAGGGACCCAGATGACCTCCCAAGGGTTCTGTCCTACTCTCTGTGGCTTGAAGTTTCATCTGACCCCTGGCCTTTTTTCAGAGCAAAGCAAGCATGCCATGAAACAGAGGGTTTGGTGGAAGAGTTTGCGGCAAAGATGCGGGAGGGAGCGAAGGAGTCCTCAGGATTCCAGATGCAACAGGGAAAGAGGGGGCTATAGGGGGTTCCAGGCTTCTTCTAGAAATAAGTCCCCAAGCCAGGAAGGCAGGAAAATCTGGTCGGGAAATTGTTCCGCCAAGGGATCACGGACCCTCTGGCTGTGGGCAAGAGTTGGGAGACAGACTGTGAAGAAGAGTCAGAAAGCCTTGGAGGAGTTGTCCCCAGAGCCCCCAAACTGAGCCCCCTTCCCTCCCATCTCCACCACTGAGTCCCTTCTGGGAAGGGAGGCACCCTGCCCTTCCTCTCAGCGCCTCAGCAGCACCTACTCAGCTGCTCTCCTGAGAGCTGACATTAACCAGGCTCCCTCTAAGCCCAGCCCCCCACACCGCACAAGTCTCCCACAAACCCAAATAACCACTCCACTGCCCTCCTGGCTACCCATGAACTTTTCAGATCCTTGCCCCTTGGGGGTCTTTCAAACTCTTGACACATGGCTATCACCACCCACATTCAGCTCTGGGTGCCACCCGTGAGTCTGGCTCCCAGGATCACCTCTGTCTGGTTACCCATCAGCTCACATCAGAGCACCAGCACCCTCCCTCCAGCCTCCTCCCAGCTCGGAGAACCCAGCCCCCAAAGTCCCCAAAGCTTCCATAGTCCCTGCCCAGAGGGTGTGGGGTCTCCCCAACCCCAGCCGCTCACCTCTTATTTGCCGAATTCCAGTAGACAGGTTCCAGGCTGAGCCCAGACACCAGCCCCCAAAAACCGAGCATCAGCAGGGCCCCGACTCGCACGCCCCCCGGCCCAGAATGGGGGGCCCCCATGACCCCGCCAAGGCCTGGGGGG